TACCTCCTCTGCCCCGAGTAGCCTCTCCTTGGCCTTTGACAGCCATGCCTACAACACAAAAATTCGGGTGTCGGAGACAACACTCTGACCAGGGCCGCCTCCAATTCGCCCTCGATCGCATTAACGCGAGACTTCGCAGCAGCCGTTCGTAGTTGGAGGCGATTCAGCTCAATGCGCAGAAGGGTCGCCCTCTTCGTAGCGTCTTTTTGGGCACTTAGCTTTTCGGCTTGAAGCCTCTCAACCTCAGCATGCGTCATGGTTGACTGGCCAGCTTCATTTATTTGATCGCTAAGGCATTGAAGCTTTATTTGCCTGTCTTGGTTCCGCATTCTCCAAGCTACCAGCTCATCCTGGACAGCTAGCAGCAGGGCATGAAAATGCCCAGCCAGCTGAAAAAGAGACGGCATAAGAAGGGYGTGGGGTCTAAGCTAAGAAAATGGCAAAGAAGGTAAAGAGAAGCAGGACTCATCGTGACTACTTCGAAGGCCCCATCGACGCACTTGCTCTGTATGTTGAAGTCGCCTAGGACCTGCCCATTGCAGAAAAGCCACCTCGCCATGACACCGACTGACTCTCGGATGTCCCTCATGAATCGGTAGGGATTGAGAGGGACAAAGTCTATGGGAAGGTTGAAACATCGATGGAAGGCGTCCACATCCAGCCCCTTAGTTTGTGGAGACGAAGCGTCAGACTGAAGGGCCTCGTCATTAGCCCCTGCGGCATGAACAGTCGAAGGACTGGCAAGGGGGTCGCTGGGAGCTATAGTCTCCCTCGTGCAACCACCCTTGGTCGCGACCTCCCTTTTTACTCTCCCTTCTTCTTCAGCTGAACTCCCAACAACATCGAGAGCTAGAACCAAGCACCCTTGTCATCTGCGCTGTCCACCTTCGTCGCGAGCGGGGTCAATAAAGGTCGCATAGCTAGAGGAAGGGGCAACGTCGTCCCTCTTATGGGAAATGGACTTTTCATCCTGCACTGTCGTTGACGGCTCGACTTCGTCTAACCAGAAGGACAAGACTATGCTCCGCGATAGGAGGCGGCGCTTGAGTAGCGGCACCACTTCCTCTGAACTAACGTGTAAATCAATCGGTGAACTCCTCTCGTCGACATCAATCCTAAGGTTGGGCGGAGGGATAACAACAACGACATTGGTAGATGCTGCACTCCTCCCACCATGACCTTCATAAAGAGAAGCTTGGCGTGCTTACAAAACGAGTTGAACAGTGGACTCCATGGGGAAGCTAGACGTGCATAAACCGAACTTGCATCAGTTGACCCACCATTAGAAAACAAACCCTTCTTTCTCACGAAAATCATAGTTTGAAAATCTTACCCGTCGACGGTCCAGCCTGGTTAGGGAAGTAGTCGCAACCTTAGATCGAACCAACTAGGTCACCGACGAGGCAACAAAGCTCTAGTTTATCATTCGTGATGATAACCGAGGGAGGCTGTTTGACAGTAGAAAGTGCCTGAATCATCTGAAGTATCGGTAAGTACTCAAGATAAAGGGGTGAGACCTCACTTGGCAGCACTGAGCGAAAGCGAAAGCGATGATTAAGGATGTACCCGCACAAATGAAGCTAGACGAAGAAGAGAAACGATGAACTTACCGTTTTATAAGAAATTATTGGGAACGCGTTCACAAATCGACTCACTAACAGCCAGCCAGGTCTCGCCAACAAAGAACCACCAGTCCTTCCAATGTTTGTTAGAGGTAGGGGGTTTGAACATTTTCCGATAATGAGAGTTCAGGCTGTAAAATCCCGAGAAGCTGGCGATCGACTTCAACATTGTCAGGGCGGTCAGTAATCCTAGGGTCATCTGCTCCCCCTCGCTGAACTTCGACCAGATGATATCCAGAGCCATCATCATTCCCTAGGCATTGAAGGCAAGCTAGGTGACACGACACGAGCAAGGGACAGGAAGGCTTGAGCGAAGAATGAGAGTGGAAGCCTTACCTTGTTGCTGAATATTTGGGAATAAAAGCTCACTCACCCCAACGAAGGGGAGTCGGTTCTTTCATCCCCTACCRGACTCCCCTTTGCTAGACGTATTGGACGTAGTCAGGAATGCGGTAGGTCAATCGGATATCTTGCACCGAGGGACAGTTACCAGCGGAGATGCGTTTCTCTGAGAAGCCATGGCTATGTCGAAATTCAAGAGAACCGAAAAGAAAGAAGACTAAGGGAAGCGAAATAAAGAACTACCGCCTTCCCCTCGAAATAGGGTTTAAATCCCTGTCAAGCGTCGTTTCAGATCCTAATGGACGCCTAGAATCGGAACCACTGCCTCCACCGCTTCACTCGACACATAAGGGACGCGACTGCTCGCAAAACAGTGATTGTCATGTGTCCCTTCATTACTGTGGCCGCATGAGGGAACCTTTTGTCGTCGTACCTCTTGACTAGCCTAGCCCCACGTCTGAATCTGAAAGATTTGTCCTCCACACGCCTCGCGACGCAGCCCTTACGCACTTCAATCCACTTCAATGCTTTCGGACCCAGCCATCCGTGGCAAGATAACCCAAGCCAAAAAGAGGGCTCACTATTGAGGGAGAAATCCGAGTAAGACAAGCGTCCAAACCCGAGAGCGACAGTGAGGTGTAAGACCACAGACGGTTACCACCGTACTCTGTGTAGGGGTACAGGCATGTCGCCACCACTACTGTACGAGGAAGACACCGATGACTACAGCCTGAAACCTACAAGTCGTAGGATTACAGACCTGTAGATGAAGGCACCAACCACTATTTGTCGGGAGCATCCACCCCTCCATCAGTGTCTCGTATAGCTCGGCGCGACTCTACCTCCACAACCGTCGTCCTTCCTAGTCGGCCATCCAAACTTACAAAAAGGAATGGCTCACACCAACACCAAGTAAGTGAAAAACCTATCACTGAGATCCTAAGGTGTTTATTCCTAACTTATTTACTCTGATTACTGACTTGAGCGTCGGAGTGTATTAGGCGGGACACCGCACCAGCGTGAGGTTACTCCTCGGCATACATATTCATCCAAGGGACACGTGGACCTCTCCAAACTTCACCATCAAGGTGTGTATATATATATTAACTAGGGTGAGAGAGGAGGATTTAGAAAGATATTTAATTCTTTGTATAAGGGGACAAAGAGGGAATACGGATTTTAAAACAATATTAGATAGGATGAGGTGGAAAATGAAATAAACAAACAAATTTTCATAGATTCGTACAAAGTACCTCGAATCCTAGAATAAAAAAAGCATCATCATTCATTTATTTATTTGCTTGTAATCCTCGTAGTAATTAACATTGGATTCAAACAAAGCTGCAAGAATATTAAATACATGAAAGAAATATCGTCCCATGTATCAGCTACCTTTCGGCTTTTAGTCAAGGATTCGTGTTAAAAAATAAAATAATAATAATAATATAGTTTCATCAGATTCGAGTACTTGGCACGTATCCACCAAATAAAAGAGTTGACTTCAATTTCATTGGAAGAACATATAATATATCATAAACCAAACCAATAATTGCAACTAAATAAACCACAAGCTGCATTTTCCTAACGGGTTTCGGTTTATTATAAATATGAAAAGCCACAACAATGGAGGCATCCAATTGAGGTGGAAGAACACACACATATATGGCAGAAGAAAAAGTAAGCGAAGCCAATGCCAATAATGGAGCTCAAGAAAAGAACTTGAGGGGCCGGAAGTCTTCATGGGCCACCCTCCGCCGTGTAGACTCGCTCAATTTGGAGGCCGGAAGGTTTCCCGCCGCTGCGGCTCATCAATTGTCGGGGGTACGAAATCAATATATACTAACCTTTTACCTGTATAAGTCAGCAACATGGGCATGCACCCAGAATTTATTACTTTATTATTATTATCTCAGGATCACTTTTGTCATTTAAATACAAATCTCTTCTAATTACCCTAATTTTATCTCTCTTTTATAAATTTCTTTCCCTCTAATTTTCTCTCTATCTAAATATTATCTACCTACCTTTATAAATTCCAAATAGAATTAATAAATGATAATTTGAGTAAGAAATTTAGATGCCAAAAGAAAAAAAAAAGAGTTTTAAGGTTTTGGGAGAGAAAAATGAATGGCAAAATTATCCTCAAAGTAATAGAGAAAATGATTAAAATTAAATGACAAAATAGGAGTTTCTATGTGTTGTACAAAGTATAAATATCCTTCCATTTGTAAAACAACAATTATTTGACAAAAAGAAAATAAAAAAAAAAATCTCTCTTTACTCTGTTTTTTGTATTCCACTCATTTACTTGCAGAGCTTTCAATTAACTAGTCAAGTAAGTACAAAAAAATATTTTGATGCTTAGTTACAATACCATCAATAAAAAGACAGTGATAGCATGCCACATAAATCAGTAGTAATTGACATATATCATCAAGAGGTTGTGAGTTCGATTCCCACCTACATGCTGTACTAAAAAAATAGTGATAGCATTTAGTATTATACAAAAAATTTAACGGGACCAACTAAAGAAAACTTATTCTACATATTTTTTGTATTATTTGTGTTAACTAATAAAAAGGAAAATACTTTTCTCCGAATTAATCTTATCTTCACTACCATTAAATATTTGACAACTCATTATTTTTAGAAAACATTATTTATTTCTGTATGTCTCTCTTTAACCGTTAAACAATGACAAATAAAATTTGTAAAGAGCCCAGTACTTTTTTCAAACCAATTGAGGATTTCTAACAAAGTTTATAAGATGCAGGATTACTTCTCTTACTATCCATTGATTTTGAGATGAAATTCCATAAATTTTAAGAATTGGTCATCCTATATTTAAGAAAATACATATTTATTCTACGCAGTTGAGTTGGCAGCGGACTCTAAGCTTGGCATTCCAAAGCGTGGGAGTGGTGTATGGCGACATCGGAACGTCGCCGTTGTACGTTTACGCAAGCACATTCACAAACGGCATTAAGAACACAGACGACGTGATCGGAGTTCTATCGCTGATAATCTACACGATAGCACTAGTCCCTCTGCTGAAGTACGTTTTCATAGTGCTGTGGGCGAACGACAACGGCGACGGCGGGACGTTCGCTCTTTACTCGCTGCTGTGCCGGTACGCCAAAGTTGGGCTGATTCCGAACCAGCAGCCGGAGGACAGGGAGCTCTCAAATTACCAGCTCGTTGCACCTTCCAACTTGAGGAGGTCTCAGAAGGTGAAGGAGAAGCTCGAGAACAGTGCCGCTGTCAAAATTGCCCTTTTTCTTGTCACCATTGCCGGCACCTCCATGGTTATTGGAGATGGGGTTCTCACTCCATGCATTTCCGGTAAGCTTCCCATGTCATTATCTTTAATGATTTCACAGAGAATACAGAACCCACGACAAAGAGACTTAACAAGGTTTATATTTTATAAATATATGATTAATTTCCTTGTTTACAATTGATTTTGAGATTATACCTTATAAAGATTGAGATGGTATTAGAATTCAATAAACTCAAATGAAAGAATTAGCATTGGTAAAAAGAAAATCAAGCCAAAGATTTGGTTAGCTCAAAAGAGAACCGCATAGATACGAACCGTATAAAAATTTAGATGGTACAAGTGGGCAACCCTTTTTAGTTAATATTCAAATTTTCATTTGATTTTGTTATTATCTATATTTTTGGATAAAACTTTGCTCCTTAATAATAAGGAACAATTTTGTCCTAACCACCATTAAATATTTGACAGCTAAGGAAGATAAATGCAAAAACAAAAATTTATTTTAAATATAATGAGTTGTCAAATATTGAATGGTGGTAAGGACAAAATTGCTCCTTACCAGTGAGGAGCTAAGTTTTATCTCATATCTTTTTAAAAGTATTTGGCTTCTCACCGGACCAATCTTGTCTTAGACCACCCTTTAAAAATGAACAGTTTATTATTTAAAAATTTTGTTTTTCATTTCTCTCCTAGTTGTCAAATATTTAATAGTGGTTGGTGAGAAACAAAGAATTTTCCTCTAAATTTCAAATTTACTGCAATATTTTAAAATACATATTTATGCATTTAGGTAAATATTTATTTTAAAAATTATAAACAAAGGAAAATACGTATTGTTTTATGCTAAAAATGTCTATAGGGTAAAAGAACTAAGACATGAGAAGAATCTACTGTAGTTAAAATCATTAATTTCTGAATTTGTTCATACTCCGATGCTTAGAGTGTGTGTAACACTCATATTTTACTGACCACTATTAAATCTTCAGCAAGTAGGATAGAAATGTACCAAGTAGATATATTTTCTATTTTTCATAACTGTCCATTTTTTATTAATTAGCACAAAAATGTGTAATCATTAGCACTCAAATATGTGTGTGAGAGTAAAAATATAATCCTTAACAATGACTTACAAGGTTTGATCCTCTCCTCTATGCTCTCATCATAAGATTCCATTTTTCCCTTATTTTAAATATTGCATCAGAAACTCCTCATCACGAAAAATAAAGAATTTAGATCACTTGTATTTAACTATATTTTTTGTTTTGTGTAGTGCTCTCAGCAGTGAGCGGAATCAACTCACTAGGGACAGGTACAATATTTTACTATAATGATTAATTTTGAATTAGTGATATATAACCTTTTTTTTTCTCCACGTTAATGTTATTTGGATGTTTGACTCTTTTGCAAAATGTGTATATCATAAAATTGACACTTCTTGTTTTAATCAACACAATAATAAATAGAGTGTATAAAACTTCTGAATATTATATAAATTGGTTAACATTTATTTGCAGCTACGGATGACAAAAATGTCCGCGAGATCGGTCAAATCGGGGAATCCCAATCTGGTTCCCGAGCGGGGACAGGGCGAGGACAGGATCGGTCCCCCCGCTCCGTCCTTGATCCCGCCCCGTTTAATTTTCTATTATTTTTTCTACTTTTTTATAGAATAATATTAATATATTAATTTTATAAATACTTTTTAATTTAAAAAAAAAACTCAAGCTAACCCCTCATTTAGCAACTTTTTGTTCCCTTTTTATATTAATAATAACAAAAATTAATTAAAAAATTAAAAAAGTATATTTATAATGGAGAATCCCCACCCGTCTCTGCCCCCAAAATTTCGGGGACGGGGTGGGGATGAGGATGGCCCCGGCTCCATCCCGTTACCATCCCTATTTGCAGCCCATTTTATAGAAAGATGAAAAAAAGTAAATCAATGATGAACATACACACTTTGTTAACATTGAAAATTTGTAAATAAGGAATTGTAAGAGAAAAGTTAAAATATAAGGTGGAGTGGAGATGTTTTTTCCTGGTCTCTTTTTGTATAGTTCATCTCTATTAAATCATATCTTAAAAAAACAAAAATCTCTATTAAATCTCTCCAAACTTTGCATGTAAAATCAATATAGGAATTTTGATTTTCTCATGACAAGCTAAATAATGGGTCATAAAATGAATGCATGATTTGAAGATTTGTTTATGTGTAAAAGTTGACTACAAAACTAGAAGGATGTGCTCAATTGATTGAAAAAGAAAAAACTTGATCAAGTTGGTTATTTCAAAAAAGAAAAAAAAAAGGGGTTGATATGGCTAGTTGGTACTTGTAGAACAAGGCCATGTGTGCAACATTTTTTTTTTTAAATAATAAGGATTTGTCCAATTAAACTACTTCCAAGTTGGCACTTGTTATGTGAAAACTGAAAAAGTTTTGCTAAAATAATGGCTACATATAGTGTAGGATTTTAAGAGCTGAAACTAAAACTTGTTATATATGAAAAAAGGATTTTTCTTTTGTTTTTTTGTGTGGAATTTAAGGGTTGTTTCTCTGTCCTCGATTTGATAACTATTTATTTTAATTTTTCTATTTTTAAAAATTAAACTTAAAAATATTACTTTCAGTTATGTGTTTTTTTAATTAGTTTTAATAAACATTTTCAACCTCTATTTGTTAATTATTACTTGTATAATCATTATATATTGGATTAAGTTGTTAATTACTTATGAACTAGCTCTAACCCTCGACTTACCTAACCTAATTGAGTGATCAGGCCTGATAGTAATTTTGCTTTTGGTTTTCTATTTTTTAGAATTAAGGTAACTACTAATTTTTTCCTTCCTAGACCAACACTAATTTTACTTTTTAGAAAGTTTTAAAAGTCTAAGTCAAAATTTTTAAATTTGTGTTTTAGGAAAATAAAAAAAATATACAAAGAAATTGTGAGACAATAAAAGCTAAACTAATTTTAAAAATAGAAAACTAAAAACACTATCCAATTGTATCTAAATTAATCAATACTAATCACTAACTTACCTAAACCATAGATATATAGGTTCTACCCGTTATCATTTAAAAATATATATATTTTGTTTTTGTTAAAAAATTTTATTCCTGGCTCTATAGAAGTAATGATTTAGTCTTTTAACTTTAGTTTCTGACAATAGTTTTTTACTTTCAAATTTCTCTATCTAGTTTAAAGTTTGTAACAATTAATTAGTAGTGCTATCATAAAATTTTTTGTTAAGATTTGATAATGTTTCTTAATGTGTAGATCCATAAACACTAATAACGGACTAAACATATGTGTTTACAAATTACAAATATTAAATTGTCACATTATAACAAGAATCGACACTTAATATGGTTGGAATTAAATTGTTACTATTTTCAAACTACATGTACTAAATCATTACGTAGTAAAATTTAGGAATTAAATTGTTACCAATACAATGACTACATTGTTATGCGTACTAAAGTAGAAGATCTATATTGTTATAAATTATAGTTCAAGTGACTACCCGTTTGAAAGTAGAAGGTCTAAATCATTACAAATTGTAGTTCGTGGACTAAATTGTTTGAATAGGAACGAGCCATGTTTTACTAATAATTAGAAGCCAGTGAGTGTCTGGTTTACAAATAGATGCGGCAGAAATGAGTTATTATGGTGTGTATACACAGATGCAGTGGTGGGGATTTCAGTAGCCATTCTGATAATCCTGTTCTCCATTCAACGCTTCGGGACAGACAAAGTAGGGTTCTCATTTGCGCCAATAATCCTTGTGTGGTTTTCATTCATCGGTGGGATCGGCCTCTACAACTTGTTCAAGCACGATCCCGCTGTGCTCAAAGCTTTTAACCCTAAATATATCTTCGACTACTTCAGACGGAACGGAAAGCAAGCCTGGATCTCCCTTGGCGGCGTTTTCCTCTGCATCACTGGCACCGAGGCCATGTTCGCCGATCTCGGCCATTTCAATGTCCGAGCCATACAGGTCAGTTCACACACCCATGACGATAATATTATCAAGATACTTACATATTTACCCGTCCGTCAGGACCTATTGTCTGAAAAAGAAGGTAGGAAAATTGCAGTGGGTGGCAGATGTGTTTTATGCATTTTAAAATATATATATATATATATGTTTTTGTATTTATGTCTCTTAATTGTCAAGGTAGCCAGAACAAGATTGGATCCTCGGAACTAAGTATTTTTCTAATATTATAAAAGTTACGTTGAAGATTATGTTATGAATTTGCAAGAAATAAATACATCCAATCAATTTTGCAGATTAGTTTCTCCTCCATTGTGTTCCCTGCTCTAATAGCAGCCTACACCGGGCAAGCTGCGTATCTCAGAAAATTCCCAGGCCACGTCTTGAATACTTTCTACGACTCAATCCCAGATCCTTTGTACTGGCCCACCTTCGTAGTAGCCGTGGCGGCTTCCATCATAGCGAGCCAGGCCATGATCTCCGGAGCCTTCGCCATAATTTCCCAGTCGCTCTCTCTCGGCTGCTTCCCGCGCGTGAAGGTGGTCCATACATCCCACAAGTACGAGGGCCAAGTTTACATCCCGGAGATCAACTACCTCCTCATGCTGGCCTGCGTCATCGTCACCGTCGCCTTCCGCACCACCGAGAACATCGGCCATGCCTACGGCATCGCCGTCGTCTCCGTCATGATCATGACCACCGCCATGGTCTCCCTTATCATGGTCGTCATCTGGAAGACCAGCATTTGGCTCATCGCCGCCTTCTTCCTTGTCTTCGGCGCCATCGAGCTCCTCTACTTCTCCTCCGTCCTCTATAAGTTCACTCAGGGCGGGTTTCTTCCTCTCGTTCTCGCTTTCTTCCTCATGGCCGTCATGGTCGTGTGGCACTATGTGCATAGGGAGAGGTACATGTTCGAGCTCAGAAACAAGGTTTCTAATAGCTTCATAACGGAGCTAGCAAATAATCATGAGGTTAATAGGATTCCTGGAATTGGGCTTCTCTACTCCGAGCTTGTTCAGGGTATTCCTCCCATCTTCCCTCACTTCATTACCAGCATTCCTTCCGTCCACTCCGTCATCGTCTTCGTCTCGATTAAGTCGATTCCGATCAGTAAAGTCACACCCGGGGAGCGGTTTCTGTTCCGTCAGGTGGAGCCGAGGGAGTACCACATGTTTCGGTGTGTCGTGAGGTATGTTAAATGACTGCTAAACGCAATATTTTTAAAGTATATTCTTAACGTTGCCTTCATGAGTTTAGAAATTAGTATGTTCTTTAAGTTTGTGTTGTGATAGGCTATGATACATCTAATGTTTATAAGATAGTAGGAATTCAAACATTTTGAACTTACAGTGTATATTAAATCAGCACTAAACATAAAAATTAAAAATTAAAACCAAGAGGTTAAGGATATTTTAAGCTTTTATTTATATTTGTCTTTGAAATAAGCACAATGATATCATAGGAATTTGAACATAAAATTTGATACCCTGTTAAATCAAATATTAAACCAAAAAATTTTAACTAATAGGTTAGGTAAATTTTTGTCTTTTGTTTATATTTTCGTTGGAAATTAGCACAATAACATAATAGAGATTCAAACAAAAAAGTGCCTACTAATATATCATACCATGTTTAATCTCCCCTAAATCTTAAAAGTTTAAACCGAATAGGTTACTGTAAATTCAATATTTTATTCATATTTGGTTGAAAAACTAGAACAATGACACAATATACATTTGAACATAGAATTTTGTACTCTAACTATAGTTAACTCATCATTAAATTTAAAAGTTAATAAAGAATTTAACTCTTTTTTATTCATATCCTTAACCTTCCCCCCAATCATGAATGAAGTATCATTTTAAATCACAACCACTCTAAACCTCAAAAGATTGATTAGGTGTATATGATTAGTGTAATTTAATCTTTCATCCATATTCTTAATCAGGTATGGTTATAAAGACGTCATAATCGGATCGGCGGAGTTCGAGCGCCAATTGGTGGATAGCCTGAAAGAGTTCATACGCCAAGAACATATAATGCTAGAAGGGATCCCAAATTTGTTTGTAGAACAACCGACGTTATCGAACCAGCAAAACACAACCCGCTCGGGGAAGCTAGAAGCAAAAACAAAAGTAAAAGCTTCATCTTCTTCTTCAGCAACAGTCCATGTCGAAGGAACGCTACCAGAAGGAGGAAGCCAGTCTCGAGGCTCGTCGGGCTCGATTCAGTCTTTCAACGCTTCGAAGTCGAGGAGCTCTTCAAACGCAATAGTGCAAGTGGTGGCGCCATTGGCGGAGGGAGTGGAAGAGGAGATGGAGTTCGTGGAGAGAGCGATGAAGAAAGGCGTGGTTTATCTGCTCGGGGAAGCAGAAGTAGTAGCGGATCCAAAATCTTCGTTGCTAAAGAAGATGGTGGTTAACTACGCTTATAGTTTTCTCAGGAAGAACTTCAGGCAAGGAGAGAACGTTCTGGAGATTCCACACACCAGGCTTCTCAGGGTTGGAATGACTTATGAAATATGAGACCACAACAAAATCAAAAAACGGCTCATACATTGGAGATTGCTCGTTTTGCATTATGAATTTAAGATCATTTATTTAACGTTTTTGTGAGAATATGTATATTAATTTGTATGTGTGGAAGAAGCTGCTTTTCGTGGTGCTCGGTAGATTTCTTTCACTTCCACAAAGGGTGTGTTTGGAAATACTTTTGAAATAAGTTACTTCTCAAAAGAAAGTGTCCTTCAATATAATACTTTTGGTTTCAATTTTTTCGAGGGCAATGACATATTGATGGTTTGCAACTAGACTATCTATATATTATTTTAATTCATAAATAATATAGTTTTCTCATTATTTTGGATTCGTTTAATATCTTTTATCTCTATATTTAAAAGATTTGAAGAAATGCAGGAGTGAAATAAAACTGAAAATTATAAATTAATAAAATAATTCCTAATATTATTAAGTTAATGAATGACTCATTGTTTATGCTTCTCTGCACAAAGGTCACACTTTGGTCTAGGTCGAACTTGGTTCAAGCTTCAACTTCAAGCACGATGGGAATACCAGCACAAGAGGGTAAAATCTCCGATGCTCAAGTCAGTAAGCAGTTCGGACTCAAGATAAAGTTCGAGGAGAAATTCGATACCTAAGGTTGAAATGAGGCCCTCTATTTATAGGTATAGGCTCCGACAAGGCCTTGCGATAGGTGGTTATCTTGGTTGGAATTGAGGTCGAACCTATTGGGTCTCTTAGGTCCAGCCCAAATAGGTTATTCAAGATGCTACCAGTTTAATAAAGGGAAATAGCGACTAAGTCTTTCACCTCGGAAGGTCCGAGGTGGAGCTGCTTGAAAGTTTGTTTGTTAATATATTTTGGCGAATCACTATCCTCCATGTGACACTCCAATTTCCTTCTCCAAACATTGACCCCCTCTCTGTTAGGTTCGAGATCGACCTGGTAAAGAAGTTGTGTTTCTGGAATTGGCCAACGTGGTGACTTCTGAGTTCGTGGTGCCAAATATAACCTTTGGAGAATCTCAAAGACGGAGTTGGCAGCTGTCACGTACTCGAGTGCGTCCGACGTTCGACCTTCTGCATGATCTGGGTTTTTGTTCTTCAAACACATGAATGGCGGAGATTGATTTCAAAATGCTATAATAGCCCTAGGGTTCAGATCCATTTTTTACGCTTTCTGAAAACTTGGAGTCTGACCTGACCAGCTCGGAACTTACTCTAGGTCAATCTCACTCTTCTAATTTTACTTACGTTCTTTTTCTTTTTAAACGATGTCGAGTTCCTCAAGTTCGTCTAGTAGTGTTCCTCTGATAGGGTAGACCGGAGCCAGAGCCCTTCCCCTAAGAGGACCAACTCTATAGAGAATTTTGGAAGTAGGTTAGACTCCGAGTTGGACGAGGAAATAGATAATTTTAGGTTTTCCGATGACGATGGAGATGATAGTGACACCTCCACCTCGGGCCAAAGGTTGTAATTCCTTTCTCAAAAGCTTGAGAACTACCTTGGCCCCCTTCGTAAGAGATACAGTATTCTAAACAATATTGTCCTTATGCTTCATAAGGAAGGGGAACGTGCTGACGACCCTCTGGAGGGGTGTGTTGCACTCTACTTGAAGATGTTCGAGTATAGCTTTCGCTTGCACGTTCACCATTTAGCGTAGGAGTTCTTGGTTCGAATTGGACTCGCTCCCGCCTAGGTGGCCCTCAATGGGTGGGGTGTTGCCTTTGGTTTGGCTGTGTTATTCTGGTTTAGATGTCGAGAGGTAGAAGGGTTATACCTCCTTAGGACCGACCAACTTTTGGCTTGTTTCGAAGTGAAATGCATCTCCAAAAAGCCTGACCGTTACTATTTATTCACAAGAAGAGGTGCTACAAGCATCATCAAGGGTCCTACCTCCATAAAGAAATGGGTAGGAAAATGGTTCTACACCTCTGGAGAGTGGTTGGCAAAAGACAAGACCGACCTGCCCTTCTACAACGTCCCCTGTAGATTTGAGAACTTAGGTAAGAGGTTGTGTCTCCTACTCATTTGAGTTCTAATTCTCCTCGTACTCTAACTTGTTACTTTTATTTTGCAATCGCCATCAGGCCTGTTCCTCAACTGTCCTAATCGATATTCGAAATTTTGAAATTTTATAAAGACAAGTTCAAGAGTGGCAAGAAGGTTGGTACTCTGCTAACCGACAAGCTGCTTCTCGCGTTTGGATTGTTGGATTTCAATCCTTTGCTCGCTCCTCCAGAAGCTCAGAGACGGAACTCAGAGCTAGGTAAGTCGATCTCGGATCTTTCTCAACATCATTCTTTAGATCGAATAGCCATATACTTTTATTATTTGCAGCCATGGTTGTGGGTTTGCTCAAGACATGAAGTACAAGCGCCCTCGTCAAGGACAATCGTCAAAATCGAGACCGGAGCCGAGCCCCGTAATTGTCGACCTTCTTGCCGAGGTCGAGGTGGTAGAGAAGGACAAGGAGGATGGCTCTCCGAAGAAAGCGAGGGGGCCTGAGACTTCTCAGTCCCAGGAGATCCTTGACGTCTCCCCTCTCCGAGAGGTTCGAAGGAGACCCTCCTCCAATAAGTCAAAGAAGAAAAAGAGGAGGACCTTTTGTTGGAGGAGGCTGTGACCGAAGTGCGAAGTAGTTACTTCGCTGGTCTCACGGACGATCCCAAGGCCAGGATGGGTGCCACCTCCGACATCGAGGTGAAGTTCAAAGTTGAGCCTTTAAGTGCTGGGGTAAACGACAAAGTGATGTAAATATCCAACTCCTGCTTTGACCATTGTTAGAGGAGAGCCTCAAATTTGTGAGTGCTCCAGGATCGACCATCCAGAGGATGTTGTACTATAATACCCCGCATTACCTTTAAGAGTATTTTCGTGACTTTATATTATTATTGTCTTTCAGCTAAGCTAGTCAAATATAATTAGCTTTATGTCAATAAACTTTAATCAATTAAGCACAAGTTAATTTTATTTATGTATTAAAAGAAACTTACAACAAAATTTAGTGATTTATCTTATCCATGTTTAATTAGTTATGTATGTTAATAAAAATAAATAAATTTGCATACGAGATTAATAAGCTTAGCAAGATCGTAATTGTATCAAAGTAAAAAAATTAGCAATAGTACTTTAGTAATTAAATAAATGTTGTGAATTATGGTAATTGTAATGGTGGAGTTATTTGAGTATTTATAAATTTTCATATATTGCAAAGCATGTTATGATTCTATGACTTTCTCATGTAATTTTAAGTATGTTTAATAGCAAATCATGGTGAGGTAAAGCGTGGCATAATGTGTGATGCATTGCATTCGTAGTTAAGTTAGTAGTCTTATGTATCATGGATTTAGGTGTTATGCATGAAATACCCAAATTAAGCAGTTATGTTATGCGGCTAGATGTAGGATATGACATGTATGGTTTCTGCTAAAGGCTGGGCCCTAGGAAACAAATTAGTTCATGTTAATGGCATTTGTGGAGGGTAATTACCCTATAAATATTACATGCGAAATTGACAGTTATGGTATAGGGTATTTCTGCATAGCATGGCGCCAAAGTAAGTATTTAGATATGTAAGTTTATGCTAGCAAACACAAGTATGTTAAGTTAAGTTGTTCGCTGGTTTATATGTTAGGTTGAGGTATGCATGCATATAAGCATGATGTGTGTGTTTGAGCATGAAAGATCTTTATGATGGGAACTACTTACTGGGTATTTTTTTATACTCATTCCATGTTGTTTCAATTTTTTTACAAATAGTTATATAGTTGACGAGAATAACATCGAGGATGACCTAGGCATTGACGAGGAGGAGATATGAGACAYAGTTGAATTTTATTTATAATCTATACTTTTAATTATGAGTATACCACATTTTTACTTATTTTATTAAGGATAATAATTTTGTGATTTCCGCTGCTAGAGACTTATAAGTTAAGTTTATTTAAGTTATCGTTTCCATTTTCAGATGCAAAAACAAGTTTTTATCTTATTTTATTTTAATGAAATCATGTTTTATGAGTAATTATCTCAATATTATATTATTAATTATATATAAAAATTGGGGTCATTACATGTACTAATCTGCCGAGGTACGACCTCTTTTGGGTTTCAAATATTACATACTTAGGTATTCCTAGATAACCCATTTCTCTTACTCCTTCTTTGCTTGTCCACAGACGCACGCCACTATCTGTCACGCGGTAGTGATAATAAAAGTCAAAACAGACGGCTGTGACCGTCTTACTGTGAAGGAGAGGGAGGCCCACTCTGCCGCCGTGGAAGCTACGACAGCTCTAGAAGGAGTGTTGAAATAGGCCAGGGCTGAGATCGCAGCCTGGAAATTGACTTTGGAGGTGGACAAAGTCGAGCTGAAGAGCGCTCAAAAGGAGATTGAGTGCAACATGGAGGCTTTAAGGGATGCCCATGCCAACCCAAGGGCTTGGAGAATGAGATGTTCAAGCTCATAAAGCACAACGACCAGCTCGTTCCCAACACTGAGGCTCACCAAGCTGAGGTGAGAAGCTGAGAGTAGAGCTACAGGTTAAGAAGTCAAAATTTAGCAACGAGGTGCTCTTGGAGGAAGCCTTCCGACTCCACTCGGACTTTGACGGCTTCGCCAAAGACTTCAGTGACGCTGGTTTTAAATTCCTAATGAATGGAATTAAGGAGTGGCCCCTGAATTCAACCTCAAATCCATAAAGCGCCGGTACGCGGAGAAGTGGGCGTCTGGTCCAATAAGACTCTTAGACCCCAAAGCTTGGTAAACCTATACCTTAGGGACCTAGACTTCGAGGTCGAGAAAGACGAAGGGGATGGCTCGTCCAAAGGGGGTGATGTTGCCAGCACCACTCGGGAGGACAACAAGATGGGGCTGTCTGATTCCCAAGTTGATTCTTCAAAAGAGATTGGAGCAGTGGACTCTCAAGAGCTCGATCTACTTGCATCGTAGGGTGAGCTTGGGTCGCACCTCGGGAGCAACTAGTTGACCCCAGACTTTTGCTTCGAACTGCTTTTCTTTCTGTTTTGAATATATTCTATAATTTTGTGGGTTTTGAGGCCTATACACCTTGGCCCTGTATTCAAGACTTAATAAAGTTGATGTTTGTTTGTTTCTGCATCTCTCACCTCGCACCTCTGCCTTGAACGGTTTCAATTTTTTACTTAAGTTGTATTATTTTGTTCTTAGGCATGCCTGTTCGGTGATAAACAATACTATACATATGGCCTCTATTTGATTTCCGGTATAACTAGTTAAACATGTA